CACTTAGGAGTCTGTGGAGACAAAGAACTTTGTTCTTGGAGGCAAAGAGGGGAATGTATGAGAGTATAGTTTTACCGACGCTCTTATATGGGTGTGAAGCATGGGTGATGAATGTTGCAGCAAGGAGAAGGCTGGAGGCAGTGGAGATGTCATGTCTGAGGGCAATGTGTGGTGTGAATATAATGCAGAGAATTCATAGTTTGGAAGTTAGGAGGAGGTGCGGGATTACCAAAACTGTTGTCCAGAGGGCTGAGGAAGGGTTGTTGAGGTGGTTCGGACATGTAGAGAGAATGGAGCGAAACAGAGTGACTTCAAGAGTGTATCAGTCTGTCGTGGAAGGAAGGCGGGGTAGGGGTCAGCCTAGGAAAGGTTGGAGGGAGGGGGTAAAGGAGGTTTTGTGTGCGAGGGGCTTGGACTTCCAGCAGGCACGCGTGAGCGTGTTTGATAGGAGTGAATGGAGACAAATGGTTTTTAATACTTGACGTGCTGTTGGAGTGTGAGCAAAGTAACATTTATGAAGGGGTTCAGGGAAACCGGCAGGCCGGACTTGAGTCCTGGAGATGGGAAGTACAGTGCCTGCACTCTGAAGGAGGGGTGTTAATGTTGCAGTTTAAAAACTGTAGAGTAACGCTCCCTTCTGGCAAGACAGTGATGGAGTGAATGATGGTGAAAGTTTTTCTCTTTTGGGCCACCCTGCCTTGGTGGGAATCGGCCAGTGTGATAATAAAAAATAATAAAAATGTAGATATGCACATGTGTCTAATTTATCATTTGCTTACATCTCACTCTAACCTCTTCCTCCCTTACTTCATACACTTTCACCTCTATCTTATTTCTTGTTGCCATTTTCCTTTTGGCCAATCTACCTCTTACTCTAACTGTAGCTACAACTAAATAATGATCCAATATATCAGTTGCCCCTCTATAAGTATGTACATCCTGAAGCCTACCCATGAACCTTTTAGCCACCAATACATAATCTAACAAACTACTTTCATTACGTGCTATATCATACCTTGTATACTTATCCTCTTTTTCATAAAATATGTATTACTTATTACCAAACCTCTTTCTACACATAGCTCAATTAAAGACTCCCCATTTTAATTTACCCCTAGCACCCAAAATTTACCTACTACTCCCTCCACATTTTTACCCACTTTAACATTGAAATCCACAACCACAAGTACTCTCACACTTGGTTCAAAACTCCCCATGCACTCATGCAAAATTTCCCAAAATCTCTCTCTACACTTTTCTTTTCTCCAGGTGTATAAATGCTTACTATAACCCACTTTTCACATCCAACCCTTATTTTACTCCACAGAATCCTTGAATTTATACATTGATATTCCCTCTTTTCCTGCCATAACTTATCCTTCAACATTATTGCTACTCCTTTAGCTCTATTTAAAACCCTGACCTAATCCCATTTATTTCTCCCCAGTGAAACTCTCCCACCCCCTTCAGCTTTTTCACTTAAAGCCAGGACATCCAGCTTCTCATTCATAACATTCACAATCGTCTCTTTCTTATCATTCGCACAACATCCACGCACATTCAAACATCCCACTTTGACGGTTTTCTTCTCTTTCTTTTTAGTAGGCTATACAGGGAAAGGGGTTACTAGCCCACTGTTCCTGGCATAAAAGGACACAAAAGGACAAGCAATAAGAACAAGAACTATTAAGATAAAATCAAAGAAAACTCAGATGAGTATGTATACTTCAATGTGTACATGTATGTGCAGTGACCTAAGTTTAAGTAGAAGTAGCAAGATGTACCTAAAATCTTGCACATTTACGAGACAGAAAAAAAGACACCAGCAATCCTACCATCACGTAAAAGAATTACAGGCTTTTGTTTTTACACTAACTTCGCAGGACAGTAGTACCTCCCTGGGTGGTTGCTGTCTACCAACCTACTACAATTACGTTATGTTTATATAATCCAGAATATTCCCTCAAACTTTTTTTTTTTTTTTCAACATTCTAGCCGTCCCTTGCATGTAGGTTGAGTATTATTCTGATATAACAGACACTGACAACTACCCTTTCCCTATTAGCGCATAATATCAAGGGTTTATTTTATTTCCACGATTTGACGAGTATTACACCTTGAATATTTTAATACAGTGGTACCTTGACGAGTTTAATTCGTTCCTTGACCGAGCTTGTAACTCAATTTGCTTGTATATCAAATCAATATTCCTCACTGAAATTCATTTAAATGCCATTAATCAGTTCCAGCCCCCAAAAAACCACCCCAATTTTTCTGTTATGTTTTTTTAAATAAGAAAAAGGCATTTATAAATAAGAAATGACTTTTTGCCAGGTCCCAGCAATGTTTTAGAAATGCTGGATTACACAGTGGTCCCTCGCTTTTCGTAGTTCTCGGCAATCGTAAATTTCGCCAATCATAGGGGTATTTTCGTATAAACATGGACTCGCTTTTCATAGGTTGACTCGCGAATAGTAGTTCGTCCTGGACGCGTACACACGGTGTGAGCCGGGGTGGCCTCCCTACCCAGCCAGTCTGGCATTGTTTACCAGTGAGTGAAGGTCCCCTCAAGTGCTCCTACGAAATATTTCATAATATTCCACTCATTTTAGTGCTTGTAATTACTAAATAAGCTACCATGGCTCCAAAGAAAGCTCCTAGTGCCAAGCCTGTGGTAAAGGTGAGAAACATGTACAGTGACAAAGTCTTGGGCCATTTTCGGGAAGTGTTAAAGAGATGCCAGAAACAGAGCTCTCTCCACAGTTACTTTGCGAGACAGGACTAGAGTGACTCTCAAGGTGGTCCTAGTGGCATAAGAAACAGAGAAGAGAAGCAACCCCAGAGAAGCAATTGGTACCTGAGGTGTTGCTGGAAGGGGATTCCCCTTCCAAACTGTAAACAATCCAATCTCTCTCCTCCTCCAGTCCCCCATATACTAAGAAGAATCTCCAATAAAGGAGTGTTATGCTGTTAATGTTTCATTCATCATTTCCCATTGTATTGTTTATGTACTATATGTATATTTCATGTAAAAAATTTTTTTTGTTTTAATACTTCTGGGTGTCAGGAACGGATTAATTGTATTTACATTATTTCTTATGGGGAAAATTGATTCGCAAATCATAAATTTCGTTTATAGTAACGGCTCCAGGAACGGATTAATTACGAAAAACGAGGGACCACTGTATATGAAACTCCTTGAAGCACGGTGTAAGAAGAGCGTCACTCCGTTGTTGACAGTGCAGCAGTGGAGTAACATTTGATGATTGTGCACTGCCATGGCTTTATTTTTCACTGTTACACAAACGCGTTTTTTTTTTTTTTAAACAAGTCAGCCGTCTCCCACCGAGGCAGGGTGACCCAAGAAAGAAAGAAAATCCCCAAAAAGAAAATACTTTCATCATTCAACACTTTCACCTCACTCACACATAATCACTGTTTTTGCAGAGGTGCTCAGAATACAACAGCTTAAAAGCATATACGTATAAAGATACACAACATATCCCTCCAAACTGCCAATATCCCGAACCCTTCCTTTAGAGTGCAGGCATTGTACTTCCCATTTCCAGGACTCAAGTCCAGCTATATAAAAATAACCGGTTTCCCTGAATCCCTTCACTAAATATTACCCTGCTCACACTCCAACAGCTCATCAGGTCCCAAATACCATTCGTCTCCATTCACTCCTAACATGCTCACGCACGCTTGCTGGAAGTCCAAGCCCCTCGCCCACAAAACCTCCTTTACCCCCTCCCTACAACCTTTTCAAGGACGACCCCTTCCCTGCCTTCCTTCCCCTACAGATTTATAAGCTCTCCATGTCATTCTACTTTGATCCATTCTCTCTAAATGACCAAACCACCTCGACAACCGCTCTTCAGCCCTCTGACTACTACTTTTATTAACTCTACACCTTCTAATTTCCACATTCTGAATTTTCTGCATAATATTTAAACCACACATTGCCCTTAGACAGGACGTCTCCACTGCCTCCAACCATCTCCTTGCTGCAGCATTTACAACCCAAGCTTCACACCCATATAAGAGTGTTGGTACTACTCTACTTTCATACATTCCCTTCCTTGCCTCCATAGATAACATTTTTTGTCTCCACATATACCTCAACGCACCCCTCACCTTTTTTCCTTCATCAATTCTATGATTAACCTCATCCTTCATAAATCCATCCGCCGACACGTCAACTCCCAAATATCTGAAACATTCACTTCTTCCATACTCCTACTCTCCAATTTGATATCCAATTTTTTTTTTTTATCTAAATCATTTGATACCCTCATCACCTTACTCTTATCTATGTTCACTTTCAACTTTCTACCTTTACACACACTCCCAAACTCGTCTGTATCTGCCTATATGTTTCTGTCTATTTGTCTGTATCTGTGTCTAGCTCTGTTTATCTCCGTCTCTGCTTGTCTGCGTTTTCTGTTTGCCTGTGTTTCTGTCTTCCTGTCTCTCTACTTGTCTCTCTGTCTCAGTCACTCATGAACCAACAGGTATTACACACGATGCAGAGTCATCACGTCTGATTCCTGACCCAGTGAAAATGTGTTTCTTGCGAGTCATGCTTATTATGCCTTATATCAACAAGCATAGTATAGCACTTTGGATTTTTGGGCTATCCTAGGTAATTTACACTATGTATAACTATTTATTTGTACCTGTGAGATAGAGACACAGGTAGACAGATAGATACACAGACAGACAGAAGGAGACAGAGACAGCCAAACCTAACGTATCTCCTACCATAAAACCCTAAGTGTAATCTTTTCATCATCTGTCTTGTTTCAATATCACTAAACTGGTTAAAGAATTAAAAATAGCAAGAAACTTAAGAGATTTATCAAATATGACTATACATGTGAAACAAAGTAAACTATTTAAATATAATGTTTATATAACCCATCTTACAGTGAAACTACCATGTAAGATGATGTTCTAAAACACATTCAGAGCATTATATGCATTAATCATTAACAAACCTGCATGCCTGTTCCTCTACAACTTGGACACTTCTCTGGGGGTTTCTTGCCACCCTGACCTTCACATTTGCTGCAGATTACATGTTTCTGTAGTGCAAGCTTTCTCACAGCACCATTATACAACTCCTCTAGGGTCACATTCATCTGATGGATTACATCTTTCACCCTGTTTACAAAAAATAAGGTGAAATAAGAAAAATTATAAATTTATACATAAAAATCAAATAGGGCTGACATAGATTAAGCAAAATAAACAGTGAAATGTAATTTTGAGCAAGCAATGCATTTCTTACTATCCCTATCACAACAAGCCAAGAATATATTCACTGATGAAAAAAGGCACAATACTGTGACTGGAACAATACACAAATAACTTGCACATAGAAGAGAGGAGCTTTACGACGACATTTTGGTCCGACTTGGACGATTTACGAAGTCACACTAACAAAAAGAAGAGGAGGAGGGAGTATACAGAGGCCAGCAGACATTGACAGGAACAAGAGAGGTGGTGGTGGTGGAAGCAGCAGCGGCGGCGGCAGCGGCAGCAGTAGTAAAATAAAAAAAAAAAAAAAAAAATAGGAACACTGCAAGGGAGCTAGGGGCTCACAGAGGATAGGAGCAAGAACACAGAAGGGGGGAGGAGGAATAATACTAAAGGATAAATACTCAAGGCAGAAGAAAGAAAACCCAAAGGAGAAAGAGGAAAGAGGAAGGAGGAAGGGGGAAGAGGGAGAAGGGAAAGAAAGAATCTGGTTAAGTCACAGGTGTTCTGAAGTTTGGAAAATTTTACAATGTAATGGGAAAGGGAGGCATATACAGAGACAAAGCCAGGACTAAGATTTATACAAGGAAAGTTGTGTATAGAGGAAGATTCAACCAAACGGCAACTGTGAAAATTATAAGTACGACACAGTTTTAGCAGAAGACCAGTCAATAGGACGACCGTGATCTCTGACGTGACGGAAAAGAGCACTGTTGTTGTCGGCAAGCCTAACACTACTTTTGTGCTCCCTAAGTCTGTCAGAAAGAGATCGGCCAGTTTCTCCAAAGTACTGAAGAAGACAGGAGGAACAAGAAACAGTAGACACCTGGAGCATCTATTAAGAGAGGTATGAACTAGATTAATGTGAAGTGTTAGTCTGGCGAAAAGTAAGTTTGATGCCTAAGGAACAGAAAGAGTTGTTGAGATCAGAAATACCGGAAATGTAGGGAAGGCAGAGGACAGGAGAGTTACCAGGAGTAGAGAGTCTGGGAGAGAAGAAAGCCCATTTAGTACATGAGAAGGTGGAGTCAAAATTACCTTCAGCCACCAGTATTTCGACTTCCCTACTATTTGCTCAGTTGGCTTCCCACTTTCTACTGAGAAAGTCAATTTCCTTTTTATTATTCTCAGGTCATGTCTGGCTAACCTGACTAGTCAAAACTAGACACACGGAGGTAGCACAGTTTGTGGTTTGTAAAACCATACACCAAAATCTATTCATATTTTAAAATGTTTCATACTGTGCTCAGTGGGAACAAAGCACTAGTACCAAGAAAGGAAACTTGTGTCATTTAAATGACTGGTTTCAAATAACAAAATGCTTGAAAAACTCTCTGGCTTCTACTTCCTGAAGTTAAGATAATCCAAGGCTTACATTTCCGATAGAGGGAAAAAAAATTATAACAGCATACACATCTGCTGCAAATACTACACACTAAGCACCTTTACCTAATCCCAAGCAAACTCACAATACACTGGTATTCATGCCAAGATCCACCCAAATCAGGATTAATAGATTAATTAGTCTAAATTGTGTAAAGTTCATGGATAATTCTGAAACTAATTTAGTATATGTAAACTAGTGGCTCGATGATGAGAGGCACCAAACCTATTATCTGGTAATGAAAAGTTCAATAAGCAACTTTGAAACAAATCCACTCGAACTTTTTAATATATTTTTTTCAACATATCGGCTGTCTGCCACCGAGGTAGGGTGACTCAAAAAAGAAACACTTTCACCATCATTCACACAATCACCGTCTTTGCAGAGGTGCCCAGATACGACAGTTTAGACATCACTCCAAACAGCCACTATCTCAAACCCCTCCTTTAAAGTGCAGGCATTGTACTTCCCACCTCCAGGATTCACATTCAGCTAACTAGTTTCCCTGAATCCCTTTACAAAATATTACCCTGCTTACACTCCAACAGCTTGTCAGGCCCCAACAATCATTAGTCTCCATTCACTCCTAGGCAACACACTCATACATGCCTGCTGTATGTCCAAGCCACTTGCACACAAAACCTTTTACCACCTCCCTCCATCCTTCCCTAGGATGATCCCTACCTCTCCTTCCCTCCACTACAAATTTATACACCCTCCAAGTCATCCTAATTTGCTCCATCCTCTCTAAATGACCAAACCACCTTAACAACACCTCTGCAGCCCTCTGAATAATATTTTTAGTAACTCCACACTTCCTCTTAATTTCCACACCGAATTCTCTGCATATTTACACCACACACAGCCCTTAGATGCATGTCCACTGCCTCCATCCTCCTCCTTGCTGCAGAATTTACAACCCATGCTTCATACTTATTTAAGTGTTGGTACTGCTATACTCTCATATATTCCTTTCTTTGTCTTCAGATACCTCAATGCACCACCCACCCTTTTTCCTTCATCAATTCTATGGTTTTTTTTAGTCCTTCATAAACCCATCTGATGACAATTCTATCCCCAAATTTTTTATATTATTTTTATTATTTTATTATCACACTGGCCGATTCCCACCAAGGCAGGGTGGCCCGAAAAAGAAAAACTTTCACCATCATTCACTCCATCACTGTCTTGCCAGAAGGGTGCTTTACACTACAGTTTTTAAACTGCAACATTAACACCCCTCCTTTTAAGTGCAGGGACTGTACTTCCCCTCTCCAGGACTCAAGTCCGGCCTGCCGGTTTCCCTGAATCCCTTCATAAATGTTACTTTGCTCACACTCCAACAGCACGTCAAGTATTAAAAACCTTTTTTCTCCATTCACTCCTATCAAACACGCTCACGCATGCCTGCTGGAAGTCCAAGCCCCTCGCACACAAACCTCCTTTACCCTCCCTCCAACCCTTCCTAGGCGACCCTACCCCGCCTTCCTTCCACTACAGACTGATACACTCTTGAAGTCATTCTGTTTCGCTCCATTCTCTCTACATGTCCGAACCACCTCAACAACCTTCCTCAGCCCTCTGGACCAACAGTTTTTTTGGTTAATTCCCGCACCCTCCTAACTTTCCCAAACTACGAATTCTCTGCATTATATTCACACCACACATTGCCCTCAACATGACATCTCCACTGCCTCCAGCCTTCTCCTCGCTGCAACATTCATCACCCACGCTTCACACCCATATAAGAGCGTTGGTAAAACTATAACTCTCATACATTCCCCTCTTTGCCTCCAAGGACAAAGTTCTTGTCTCCACAGAATCCTAATGCACCACTCACTCTCTTTTTCCCTCATCAATTCTATGATTCACCTCATCTTTCATAGACCCATCCGCTGACACGTCCACTCCCAAATATCTGAATACGTTCACCTCCTCCATATCTCTCTCCCTCCAATCTTGATATTCAATCTTCATCACCTAATCTTTTTGTTTATCCTCATAACCTTACTCTTTCCTTATTCACCTTTAATTTTCTTCTTTTGCACACCCTACCAAATTCATCCACCAATCTCTGCAACTTCTCTTCATATCTGAACATATTCACTGCTTCCATACTCCCTCTCCCTCCAATGATATTCATTTTTTCTTTAACTTGTTTGATACCCTCATCACTTTACTCTTAGCTCTCTTCACTTTCAACTTTCTTTACACACCCTCCCAAACTCGTCCGCTAACCTTTGCAACTTCTCTTTAGAATCTCCCAAAAGCACAGTATCATCAGCAAAAATTAACTGTCAATTCCCATTTTGTATTTGATTCCCCATAATTTAATCCCATCCCTCTCCCCAACACCCTACTATTTACACTAACAAGACACACTGTGTGTAAAGCACCCTTCTGGCAAGACAGTGATGGAATGAATGATGGCGAAAGTTTTTCTTTTTCGGGCCACCTTGCCTTGGTGGGAATCGGCCAGTGTGTTAATAATAATAATAATAATAATAATAATAATAAAAAGACACAATGTGATTTTAATGTGTACCTGCATGCCAGCACACTAAGTTTGCTTAGGTACAAGCACATACAAGGACAATTATTGAAATATACAGTGGAACCCCGGTTTTCATCCTTAATCCATTCCAGAAGGTTGGTCGAAATCCGAAGTGATATTTCCAATAAGAAAAAATGTAAATCCAATTAATCTATTCCAGATACCCAAAAATATTAACAAAAAATACATTTTATAGAGAATAACTACAGTTTTACATACAGAAAACAATGAGAAATATAAAGCACTAATTTTAATGGATAAATGAACATTTAAATCACTTACCTTTATTGAAGACTCTTGCTGACACATTCTTTATGAGATCCGCATGCAACTGCCTTGCCTTTTCGCAAATTACCACCTCCACAACACTATCTCCCGCTAACTGTTTCTCATTGATCCACACCAACAACTTCTCAACATCTTCGATTGTTTGCCATCACTACCACCTTTTACCACCATCACTACCAGTGTGAATCGCCACCACCATCACTACTGTTGGGTGGGTGTTCAAGGAGATGTCGGATGAAAAGGAATACACACTTCGATGGTTTGGTAACATATAATAAGAGTCTTGAGGGGAAGCCCAGGAGCCTTGCCTTGTCCAGTCTAGCCTAGCGGGAACAGAGATGCCTCTGGCTAGTAGCTCACATGTGATGGGCTAGCCACGGAGCCTATACAGTTAGTCAGGGAGCCTATGTATAACATAGTTGGGAATATCTACATATACTACACAAGTATCAGTGACACTACCACCCTCTACCACCATCACTACCACTACCACCATCTCTACCACCAATGTTTCAGATGACCGCACTGAGTATTGCTCACTGAACAAGTGACAGAGGCAGACCGAGTCACATACGTGTGAGCGGTCTGCATCCTGGGTGGGCGGACTCGTCTGATACAGACAATTTCCAAGCGGAGGTACGGAACCTAGGGTAAAATTTCACCCAAAAAAGTGGTCGAAATCCGAACTGTACGATATCGGCACTGGATGAAATCCGGGGTTCCACTGTGTACATAAAATACACAATAACTTTAAAACACAACCGATAGATTCGGAGCTCACGAAGACGTAAACAAACAGTGGTATACAAACATCATAATAGCAAATCAGGGACCCGTATAAACAAATCTTTGGTTGTAATTTGATATGTCCATATTAGCAAATCATCATAAAGCAGGGCCCTCCTGTAGATACTTTAAACTACATTTTATATTTTAAAATTAATTTGCAAGTTTTTATAAAAGAATGTAATTTTCATTATACTGAACCTAGCCTGAAATATTTTGTGCAATGTTATTCACATCTGTATACACAGCATCTGATATGAAAAGCCAATAGAGTGCATTAAAATGGCTGCTACACAAGATCTTGATATTCCTAAATTTAAACAAAGACAAGTTACGAGCTTGGGTAAGGTCTTTTATTTTACCGAACTATTCAGAATCTTAAGCCCTACAACAGAGTGTTAAGTTATAAAGTCACAAAAACCTTAAGCTAATTCATACTAATATAGCCTGGCCAACCTTTCATAATTTTCATTTTCCCTAACATGTTCTTTGAAAGGCTTCTCCAAATAATATGGATATATATGTATATCATTTTTAACTTTCTTGTCCTATTGGATAAGTGAATCATTATTTTTAGTGATAAATATATTCTTGCCCTACTGCTAAATACATACAGTACAGTACTTTGATCTACATGTCAGCATTAGTACTGTTCGTGCCTATCATAAGGGATTATACTAGACTAGACTTAACGAAATTATTTCACACCAGTTATTTACCTGCAAAACAAACTGACCAGTTTCATCACAAATTTCTGAATATAAATTACATCCCAACATTAAACAATGTGAATTCATAATAAAAAAAAAAGTCAGGCAGTATTTACTTCTTTTCACGGCTTCGTCTCATGCCTCCTCCAAAAAACATGTCAAAGATGTCCATTGGCGACGTGAAGGTCCCGCCTCCTGAACCACCTTCCTTAAGTGCCTGCTCACCTCCCTGATCATAAATTTTTCTCTTCTCATCATTGCTCAACACCTCATATGCTTGAGAGATTAGCTTGAACTGTTTGTGTACACACAAAAAAAAAAAAAAACAGTATTACTAATAATTTTATTATAACAAACATGTGAGCAAGCAAATAAAGTGATGAACGGAGCAAATGCAAGTTATAAAAAACTAATTAAGGAAACAGTGAATGAAAGATATACAAAAAGTATTTATAAGATAAAAGGAAGGAGTTACAAAAACGGTCTTAAAAAAAAAAAAATCTAAAAATGCTAAGCATATTTCAAAACAGATTATCTACAAAAGACAAGCAACATTAGTAATGACAAATTCACACTATATTATACAGTAGGGCCTCACTTATTTGGCAGGTTAGGTTCCAGGCTACTGCCGGAAAGCAGAACTCCATTTTTTTTCCATTTATAAATGCATATAAATACGTACCAGATAACAAGTTTACACTAACATATATTAAGTTAGCAATAAAATTAGGCATTAAAAAGTAAAATACACACACAGTGTACTCATTATTTACCTCAAAATATTTGTAGTCTTAATGTAGGGCAAAAGGTGAGAAGTATTTACTCTAAGAAGTCGGGTGCGGTAGCCCTCCTGGACACCCCACCCACACATACTATACTACGATGCTTAAAGCTCCCTAGAGCAATAGAATGCCTATACAGTACATGCATTACTTACCTTAAAATATTTGTAGTCTTAATGGTCTTAATGGGCTTA